GACTACACGAAACTTTCATAAATAATTGGCCAGAGTTTAACAACCGACAAACCGTCTCTGTGTAAATTATCCGCGGATAATTCCTTTCTTAAAAAAAAAACAAAAAAAACAGAAAAACCAATTTCTCTCTCTAAATTTCTGCCAATTAAATTAACGATTACACAGAAACTATCTCTGAACCGCGTACCAGATGAAAATCGTTGTTTTAGAATAATTTACCCATCTATGTAGGGCGCACGATTTTGCCGAGAAATAAAAACCGTCTATCAACATCGCAAACATACGCACTGTAATTTTCCAATCTTTACTTTCATACAGACGTTCCGGCGGACATTTTTCGATGATTTTTACCGCGAATCGGAATTCCTCGAATAAGATCCTCTATCGGCTTCTTACCACCATAAGTCTTTAATGAACCACTTTAATAGCTCCCCGTGTGTTTGTTTTTTTGTACAAGCATATACTGTCCAGTTCTCCACCGGTTATGGCGACGCGGCGCGATTTTCTTAGCCGCTGCTTTCGTTTCACATCAATTAGCTGATGCGGTGAACAGGTCTGGCGGGATTGCGTGCATCGCTACTTGGAAGTTTGGCGTTTTACCTTCACCGTTTCTGGACAAGAGGCCAATGATATCGGTCACTTTAAATAGAAACTACGCGGCGTTCGTCCAATTAAAGCAGTCTCGCGGGGGAAAATTCACTTTCGTTGGGTTGGACGGTTTTAGTGGTGGAAATCGTCGGATAATATTCATGAGCCGTGATTATTCCCGCCTGTGTATATATATGGAAAAGAAAAATAAGCCGATGTCAGTAATTTAGCATAGATCACCTATGAACGTTGCTCGCGAATTTTTTTCTCGAGGGTTTGGACTGTGAATCTTTTTTTTCTTGAAGTATCACAGATCAGTGTCTTTTGGTGAAACGAATATTCGACAATTTGCACCGAGTGTTTCCTCGTATCTTTCGTTTGGGGTGCATTTTTTTTTTTTTTTAACGATTGTTCGTTAAGTAGTGATTGCTTCTAAGGCGTACCGAGAGATTGGTAAAGAATTTTCTGAGAAGACAGTAAGTACTATTTTAAAGATTCTTGTGGTTTTCGTTAACGTGTCGAGGATGACTCGCGATGGCCACGAAGAGTGGAACCTCTTTTTTAGTTTAAAATGATTTTCTATCGCGACGATAAAAGAAAATGTGGTTGTAAAATTTCAAATTTTCGAATATTAGAATTTTCAAATTTTTAATATTTAAAATTTCAAGCCTTTAAGCTTTCCAACTTTCAAATCTCCAAATGTTTAAATGCTCAAATTCTCAAATATTAAAAGTTTCAAAGTTTTAACGTTTCAAAGTTTCAAAATTTCAAATCTTCAAATATTAAAATTTTCAATCTCTCAATCTTTCAAAATTTCAAAGCTTCAAAGCTCCAAAGTTTCAAAGTTTCAAATCATCAAATATTTAAAATTTCAATCTTCCAAAGTTCCCAAGTTTCGAACTTTCAAATACTTAAACTTGCAATCTCTTAATCTTTCAAATTTTCAAAGTTCCAAATTAAAAATTTTCAAAATCCCAAATATTTAAAATTTCAATCTTCCAAAGTTCCCAAGTTTCAAACTTTCAAATACTTAAACTTGCAATCCCTTAATCTTTCAAATTTTCAAAGTTCCAAATTAAAAATTTTCAAAATCCCAAATATTTAAAATTTCAATCTTCCAAAGTTCCCAAGTTTCGAGCTTTCAAATACTTAAACTTGCAATCCCTTAATCTTTCAAATTTTCAAAGTTCCAAATTAAAAATTTTCAAAATCCCAAATATTTAAAATTTCAATCTTCCAAAGTTCCCAAGTTTCCAAATTTCAAACTTCCAAAATCACGTAACACTCGAACCTCCAAACCTCCAAATGCACCAAATTTCAATCTCCCAAAAATTTCCTTCGATCTCCATCAGTTTCCCCGTATCGAAACGTCCGTTCATTTCGCCATCCTACATGCTACGTGATTTTATATATAAAGGAAGTGGTGGGTTGACGCGCACCAATTCCCCCGCGAGTCACCTCGAAAACAGGTAGGATTTGTTGTTCTCTTCCTCTCTTCTCAATTCCTTTTTTTCTCTTTTTTCTTTCAAGAGAAAACCATCAACTCCCGCGGCGCGTATGTACGCAAAACAATGTTGTCAAGTCCAGTTTAACAGTGGCTGTGCCAGTGGTCGCGGGGAAGCTTTAAAAGACGTTGCCGATGGACAGTCGTCCCCATAGTAGGATCGGTGAAGTGATCTAGTGGGATCTGGTGCGATCAGCGACATGAGGATCGCGCGTGTGATCACGGTGAGTGATCGTTCGATATTCACTCCTCACACATTGTGAATCACGCCAGGACAGAGAAATTTTAATCGCAGTGACATAAACTGATTGAACACCATTTTATCGATCGATTCAACTACACGGATAAATCCATCTCTGAGTTCGTGCGCTTTTGATCGTGAAAATAAAATGGCAATTACCGTGCGTCGTATAGAATTAATCGCGAATATCTGCGACGCTTTTATCGTTTATGTGTAACAGTGAAAAATTTCACGTTGAACGTCGTTACATATGTATCGATAGAAGTTGTTGGTAACGTTCTTACATTCTTTTGCGTTTAATTGGCGAGGCAAGAAGAATACCGTGAACGATTAAGTGTACTTGTTGTATTTTAGATTGTGAAACGCGAGGTTAACGGGCTTTTTTTATCTCATTTTCACGGTTGCAGGTCTGCGCAGCATTAATATCGACGTTTCTTGGTGCAGAGGCTGTACGTTCCAAGAGGTAAGTTTTCTCTGAATACTTCAACACTCGAAAGAGAGAAATTAGGCAGTTTTTAGAGATTTTTGATCAGCGAACTGGTGACAGATAATTGAACGTGAATTTCTGTGATCAATTTGACAATTCTTGTGAGATAGAATATACATTTTATCAATCGAAACAGTGATTATAAATGGAAATTCATACGAAGCTTCGAATTCATACGACGAACATAAGTTCTTAACAGTGCAATCTAAATAAATCGAGAAGTTTTAACAATTATGAAAATAGTGTGCCTTAATAAAAAAGAAATTGTATCTTTGTTAAAAATCAGACACTTGTTCGAGCACCATAGAAAAATGAACTAAGCTACGATTATTATTTTAATTCATGCTACAGAGACACTTCTTCCAAAAGTGTGTTCAAAATTTCAATCAAATCGGCTCGCAACTTTACTCTCAACTTCTAGAAAACTTCTAATCACCTATTCCTACCTGCGCTCTTTACACCTGCTTTCACAATTTTACTAATTGCGAGCAAAAATTTCATCCACTAATTCTAAACTCTCGATACATTCTTATCATCGAAACAATATTTTCCTATCATTCTAAACCAAGTAAACAATCAAACACCCTCGTTACCTCAGCAATAAAACAAAAGAATCCTCAAAATGACGAATTACTTTCTTCCCAAATTCAGACTGCCGCAATTGAAGGACCATCACCCCCAGGCGAGCCTCCAAAATGACACCGGCGACATCAGCGAGATAACGTTCACCACCCGTAAACCGGAAGCGGCGTTCTCCACCTACAAAACACACTCGAACCTCTACCTCCCCGTGAACAAAGGTTTCACGAGGATTCGTCCAGGTCGTTCGTCCATACCGCCGCGACTTCGTTTCCCGAATCGCTACACGGGTATCCGACGTCGAAGACAGCTCCAACGTTCCGGCGTGAAATCGTCTCACGTCGGACGGTCCTACGATCTCAGCAAGAATCACATCGACAGTCAACACGTGGAGACCATCCAAGGACCAGCGGAAGCCTTCGACGACGGAGCGATTCACCTCGAGCCTGTATACCGGGTGACCAAGAACAAGAACGTGTTCGACTCGATCATCGACGTGCTTCAACGAATGTTCGACCCGCCTAAATCGGTAGGTCCGCTCGTTGGACCGTTCAACTTCCCAGGAGTAGGCGACAAGGTGTACATCAGACTTCTGGAGCCGATTCGACCCGACAATCTAGTCGTGCGACTGGTCACGCATCTTTCAGCCGCGGACGTCGAATCTGTCCTCGACAAGGACATCCTGCCGATCGGTGGACTTCCATTGGTCGATCAGAAAACGATCGCTCTACCCAACGAGGGACTGACGAATTCTCACGAGACACACGAGCAGCATCACAGTGAAATCCACCTGATTCCCGAGGACAGCGTGCTGTCCAGCAGCAGCAACGTTGCTCAAGCCTCGAAAGCGAGTCCTGGCAGAAATAGCGCTCACGCGAACAGCTACCCTAGCGGAGGTCACTTCAGGACGTACAAGATACAGTTCAAGCCTGGGGAAGTGAACAGTATCGAGAGAGTGAGGTACCAGAAGAGGAATCCATCGGTGATATCTTCAGGGAGAAACAATCACGTCTCTCCAATTGCTCGGGATCAGGTGAACGAGACTCGCAGCAATCCTCGAGCTCATCGTTACCCACACTCGTACGATCAGGTGTACCAATTCCATTCACCTGCGAACGCGACTAGCAAAGAAAACTTCGAGCCGTTGACCATCGATTTCCACACCTTCCACGATTCGATCAACGTTTCCACGCCCGAGGTGTACAATAAATCTATGGCCGCGTACGAGGCTTATCCGAGCTTCGAAATCGTGAACACGCAGACACCGGTTGAGATCGACGAGGATCGGTTGGGGAATTACACCGAGTCTGCGGAGGATCGTCCGAGGTACAGCATCAAATTCGCGAGTAAGAACATGAGGTATCTGAATTTGGACGGAAGCGTGGAGAGCGCGATTACGGAAGGTAGTAACGAAGGTTTCCGACCTATGGAAATGCCGCCAGTCACGTCCTTCGATCCTTACTGGGATCGATTCAGGAGGATGCACGTGGAAACGAGCGAATCTTCGAAGGACTATCCGCAGGAGAGAAGCGGCAAGAACAGCGAGGAGTTGTCGGAGGTCGAGCGGAAGTCGAGCGGCGAAGAGGCGAACGATTCGGAGAAGAGGAACGGGTCGAGGAGGACTGGGAGGAAAGGTTCGAGGTGTTGTTCAGAGGAGAAGGATGAAAATAAGAGGACGAAGTCTAGTTACGACGAGGAGCAGCACGGGCCGAGTATCAATAATTCAGCGAGCAGCGTGAGATCCGCGCCGAGGAACGGTTCGACCAACAGCTTGATGCTGCACAGGTTGCAATCTTCTTTGAAGAATTCGACGAGAGGAGAAACGTTCGAGTCGTGAAGAAGGAAAGATCGTTATTTAGTATTTAATTTTCTTTTCTGTTCTTATCTTTACTTCTTTTCTGTATTATAGTTGTTGCGCTTGAGGATGGAGTGTAACGTTAGTTGCGTTGAATTAATCTTAGGGTTGATCCGCGAGGAAGTAAACGAGGTTACTTTTGTTTCAATAAAAATGTTACCTGATGTACGAAATCTGCTGTTTCCTTTGTTTCAACGATTCTCCGTGGAATTGGTTCGTTATATTTCTTTTTATGCTGTTTAAGATAATTAGTACGTGCGATTTATTTGATTAAGTGTAATAGCAGGAAGGTTCACTTAGCGTGTTATTAACACGGATTATTTTTTTTTTTTTTTTTTTTTACCACATATGTGATTCCATTCGAAACGTGAAACTTTTGGAATATTTGTTACTTTACCGGATCCCACGTCACTTATGCCGGTGATGCTCTGATTGTTTCGAACAGCGTTAATCAGTTTGGTGGCAACTTCTCCAGGTATATGTGAAATTTGTACGTAGAAGAGAACTGGTTGCTCTAAATATGAATCTGCGAGGAAAATTCCGAGAATCCAAATCTGCCCTCCATTTTTTATCCATTTCTCGAGATATTTTGAAATATTTCGGGCTCGACATAGAAAGTTATTAAATTTTTGAAATTTAGCGAAGAAAAATAATGACAAAGTAATGACTTGATGAAATCTCATTTTTCTTGGATCTCTCGAAATGTTAATCAGGGCAATTGACCTAAGAGATACAATACTTTGCAACTGTTCCATATTAATTTTCTGGCAATTACGCTTTCCTTCGCCTCGGTAATCCAACACCCGATAATTTATGTAAAAAACAATTCCACCACAGTTTTCTCCATTTTTTCCCCGACGTTAGATCGCCGCTAGAATTATCTCACGACAAACTTAGCAACAGAAGAAAAAAATACACTGTTAACCTCAGACACTTTCCATTTCACGGACAATTATCGCGGTTAATTATTCAACTAAGCTATTCGATTAACGCATGCTCGACGAGATTCCTCAGCATCCGTGACGGACAAATTCAAAGAAGCACGATCTACGCGTGACGTGTTCGACAGTGTTACACGCGAGCAACGATGGAAAGCGAGCCTCGTTCTTTCTTGCCCAATTCAGTCGTGGTCGAATGCAAAACGGCAGATATTTCAGAAAATTCATTCACACGAAGACCACTTTCTTCCGACGTGCGTAATAAAATTGTATGCAATCTACGCGTGCATGCGTGCTGTAATGCTAATTGTAGCTGATCTTTATACAAATATTACAATTCTTCCCCGTCCGAAGCGAAATTAGAAAATCGAAAGTGAACCAAGTTCGCCAAAATGGCGCCTCTGTCGTGACTTCTCTCCCGAAGATTAACGCGTTTACGCCGAAAGAATTCACAGAGAATATGCCAATTAAGAGCAGTTACGGTTGTACGTTAATCGTTCCTCCCGCATACATAATTGAGCGAAACAAATCCTGTTAATTGAGACACTTATCAACAGTTAGAGCAGCCTTTAGAGCAACTCGCTTGCTTTCTAGTCGACTAACGACCCCTGCTCGTTAATTGGACAAGCGAATCGAACTGGTTGATCCTCCGGTTGGGTGCTTCTTGAGGAAATGCCGTTTCCTGAATACAGTCAGTTCTTCGATCACTTCAGAGCGGTTAGAAACTCTCCTGCTCGACCGGAGAACAGTTTTTTCCCCGTGGACATCGGTCGTTGTTCTTCTCTGTCGTGACGGTTCGTTCACGAGTTTCTTCACGTGTGATTTTTAATTTTGACTTGTTCAAACGGGCATGAAAAAGAGCCCAATGGTACAATGAAATTACATCAAGTCTGTGGCGGTACTTGCAGCGCGCACGGCGCCACGTTGTTATACAACATAGACGAAAAGTCACGCAACGCTTCTCTGTCGTGACGGTTCGTTCACGAGTTTCTTCACGTGTGATTTTTAATTTTGACTTGTTCGTTCAAACGGGCATGAAAAAGAGCCCAATGGTACAATGAAATTACATCAAGTCTGTGGCGGTCCTTGCAGCGCGCACGGCGCCACGTTGTTATACAACATAGACGAAAAGTCACGCAACTGACGTGTCACTCGTCGGCGTCGATACTGTCACGGGATAATCACCGGTGGCACAGGAGAAAGAGTAAACTGGTCAGGACTCTGTAGCGGAAGATAGTTGAACGTATTACCAGCCGTAGCGAGGTACAGTAAATTCTCTACAAGCGTCAGTCAATTTGGATTCTACAAGTGTCAAGAAAAATTTCGGGATAAAAAAACGTAAAATTAAAAAAGTTGGTATTTAAATCGCCGTTGGTATTTCCATCCTTATCTTTTATTCGCTGTCCTTGTCTACGTTCAGCAAACTACAAAGGCGGGCGCGAGGCTCGAAAACATAGTCCCTGACTCTACAAGTGTCAGGTTTAGATTCGTTGCGGACTGACACTTGTGGAGACATTACTGTATACGGAGTCTCGGGTAGAGTAACGACGTGTCAGGGTTGGCTCCAAAGTCAAGACTGCTCTTTATTCGTTCAAACGAGGTTTATATACAGATTTTGGAGGGCCTTATCTTGGAGTGGTGAACCGTGAAACTGCGCCGTGGGCAGTCGGTCCAAAAATCCGTGGGAATCGTCTTCAGAAGTCTAGGTAAAGGGTGTTCGATGGCTTTGCACAGGTGTGGTTTATATACAGATTTCGGGAGGGTCCTGTCTTGGAGTGGTGGCCGTGAATGCTGGGAATCGACGGGCAGCGTGCAATCGGTCCGAAAGTCCGTGGAAAACTGGGGCTCGCTTCCTTATCGGTCTTCGGAGAGGTCTGGGTAAAGGGTGTCTGATGGCTTGACAATACCGTGGCGGGCCGATACCGATGGCTGTCCTCGGAAAGCGGAGATGCACTTGAGATCCGTTCCGAGGGCAGCCAAAGTCCCGACCGACGACTGCGAAGAGTGACTCGAGCGACATCGACGAGACGTTTCGCCTGGCTATCTGAATAAAGGATTTGAAGCGCGACCACGCGTACATTTACTCTCTCGTCGCCCACAAGTCGAATAGTGACAACGCGTAACGCAGTTAATTGCTATTTATAAGTTCCTTTAAAGTTTGCCTGCAACTGTCCGCAGTGGCAGAGAACAAACGAAGCCTGTCGGTGAGCTTGTTTGGATCATTGAAGCTTGCATCCGTTGTGAAGGAATCCGGTTTAAATACATCACTCTTGCGTAAAGAACGAGGGCACGTATTGAAGGTGATTAGGGGTGGACATTCGATAACGTTTGTTAATAATTTTCAAGAGAAACTGTATTCCAGCTGTACTTCTTCTGTCTTCCAAAGTGGACATATTTTTCGACATAAACGAGTAGAATTTTTGATATTTATGGCAACGATTTATGGACGTGTGAAGTAATTTGCGCGGACGTCGATCGTTAAACACTTATTCACGCGTTTCGTCACGTGTGTTTTGTTGACATTAAGGAACAGAATTTTTTATAATGATAATAGTAATTAATCTTGCTGAACGTGTTGGAATAATTTGAATTATAGTTCCTTTAGGGTAATACAGGTGAAAAATATGAGAGAATCGCAAAGTTTCTGTCATGAATTTCTCTAAAACGATCGAAGGATCACATCTATCCATTCGATAAATTCAACAGCGTATTCAAGATGAAAGAAACGTTTTCTGACGAATCGATGAATCAAACGTAAGTAGACTTCGCGTTGAAACTCGAGTAGAAGCTAATTTACCACGTTTCGTGGAACACGCATGAATTTCTCTTAATCTGAAGCGATCGAGAGATCGAGATTTGTCCGTTCGATGGATTCAACAACGTATTCAAAGTAAACGAAACGTTTTCTGACGGATCGACGAATCAAACGTAAATAGATTTTGCAGTGAAAATTGAGCATAATCTAAATTTCTCTTAATCTAAACTGATCGAGAGAAACTGCTCCGTTCCATGGATAAACTCAAGAGCGTAACCAAGAAAGAACGAAACACATCTTCCGACGAATTAAACGTGAGTGGAGTTGTTGCAATGGAGATTCGAGAGAAGAAGAATTGTAGCAGGTACAATGATTAAGGTGCGTATCGCGTGTCTGAGGATGGCAAGGTTCTATCGATTAGTTGAATCGTTTTAGAAAACGGCGATCGCATGATCCGAAATGCAAATGGCGGTAATTCATTTGGTGAAAAGCAGAAAAGTGAAAAGATAGAGGATTGATCCCTGTGAACCACTGGGCGGAGTTTCTTGGAACGCTTTATGGAAACGATCCGCCTCGCTAATTTCCACTGCGTGTATATAAACGTTAGGTTTGTTGCGACCACGCGCAGAGAGTGTCAGCGTTCACGAGGTGTGTTTCACCGGGTAAATTGATTCACACAGCGGCGACCAGGCGTCGTTTCGCCTTCTCTTCAGAATGAGAGGAAAGCTCGGGGTATGGAATCGAAGACAGAGATATTTACTTTTGTACAAATTTTGACGTTGAATGTGTAGTTAGCCGAATTGTCAATCGAGGCTTCTGGGTTTAAATGTTTAATTAAACGAATCGCTTTTCTTTTTTTTCAACGAATTGTCAGAGTGTTCTTTGAACTATGACGAAGCTGTGCTAAGATTGCGAAACGTTGGAACACGAAAAGAATTTGTCAACACTCAAAGAAACTGTAGAGATTAAGAAAGGTTTGTTTGAGCTCGAAAACGTTGACATGTTCGGAAAGCTACGGAACTTGGAAAAAATTTGACAGAATTGAGAAGTGTCGGAACTCGAAAACTTTGAAACACTCAGAAAGTTTCGGAACTTAAGAAAATTCGACAGAACTCGAAAATGTTGGGATTCGAAATCTCTGAAACACTCGAAAAGTTACGGAACTTAAGAAATTTGACAGAACTCAAAAACTCTGAAGCACTCGAAAAGTTACGGAACTTAAGAAATTTGACAGAACTCAAAAATGTTGGAATTAACAAAAATACTACGGAACTTAAAAACCAAATGTTTGGAACTCTGAGAAAAATACGGAACTCAAAAACAATTGGACAATTATACAGTGAAAGTCTAAAAAGTCTCATACTTTTTATTTCACGAAATTTGACCATTTTACTATTTTTGTTTCAGTATGCCGTTGCTCTGTTGGTGTTGTTCATGTTGCTGCGACTGCCTGCAGAATCGTGAGTACCTAATTGAACGTTTCTTTTTTTACTACACACGAGACTGTGGTGATTTATTATTTTTTGATTTTTTGTTTCGCAGAAAGAAGGTGGTAATCCATATTCCCTACAGAGTGAACAACGTGAAGCACACGCACACAGTCTACAAAATAATACCTCACTATCACGAGGAAAAGTCGGACGATGTAGAAGAGGACGAGAAATATGAGAATTATTAGCGATAATTATGAGTAGATTCGTAAACATTTGAATTGTATTGTAGACTGGTAGATGTAAATCATAGCCCAACGAATTATAGTCATTAGATTGTACAACTGACGCTGAAACAGTATTCTGTGTATCTTATTTAACGAATAAATGTGTATATTGTTAGTAAATTTTGCGATTTTGATTCACAAATCTCCTTCCGTAGGAATAAAAAATAAATACGCGTACAAAGTTGCTTTATTTACTTGAGAAATTATTAATAAAATGTGCAAGGAGTACGATACGAAGAATCTGAGGACAGTTTTAGTCGAGGAAAGCTGTCCAGACGATGAAAATTACGATTTCCGCGCGGTAATGAACTTCAAGAATCACGTAGACGCGTTTTTCTAGGGCGTGTCATTCGAAGCGGATTGGCAGATGAAGCATATCTCGCGGAGGCGGCGAAAGTGTCTGTTCGTCCGTGAAATTTCTATTACAGTACCGCGGTTTCATGCTGGTTGTTTGTAACAGAGGGTGGAATATAAAAGAGGAAGATCCCTGGCAATGTCAAACGACATTGAGCCGCTGATCTTGGCGTTTGCTGCTCGTCACCTTCGTGCCAGATCATGGTAATGAGAAACTGAGTGACTACTGTGAATCTAGAAATGTTTTACTAAATCATCGGTGTTTTCAAAGTATCTGAATTTTTTTCTGAATCCTCAGTGTTCAAAATCTAAGTTTTATCTAAATCTTCAATGTTCGAAGTCTGAATGTTCTCAAAGTTTAATTATCCTCAAAGTCCTCAGAGCTCGAAGTCTGAATTTCCTCAGAATCCGAATCTGTTCTAAATCCTCGGTGTTCAAAGTCTGCATTTCCTTAGTCTTCAGTGTCCAAAGTCTGAAATTCCTCAGTCTTCGAAGTCCGAAATCTGAATTTCCTCAAAATCCTCAGAGTCCGAAGTCTGAATTTCCTCAAAGTCATCAGTGTCCAAAGTCTGAATTTCCTCAAAATCCTCAGAGTCCGAAGTCTGAATTTCCTCAAAGTCTTCAGTGTCCAAAGTCTGAAATTCCTCAGTCTTCAAAGTCCGAAATCTGAATTTCCTCAAAGTCTTCAGTGTCCAAAGTCTGAAATTCCTCAGTCTTCAAAGTCCGAAGTCTGAATTTTCTCAAAATCCTCAGAGTCTGAAGTCTGAATTTCCTCAAAGTCTTCAGTGTCCAAAGTCTGAAATTCCTCAGTCTTCGAAGTCCGAAATCTGAGTTTCCTCAAAATCCTCAGAGTCCGAAGTCTGAATTTCCTCAAAGTCTTCAGTGTCCAAAGTCTGAAAATCCTCAGTCTTCAAAGTCCGAAGTCTGAATTTTCTCAAAATCCTCAGAGTCTGAAGTCTGAATTTCCTCAAAGTTTTCAGTGTCCAAAGTCTGAAATTCCTCAGTCTTCAAAGTCCGAAATCTGAGTTTCCTCAAAATCCTCAGAGTCCGAAGTCTGAATTTCCTCAAAAGTCCTCAGGGTCCGAAGTCTGAATTTCCTCAAAGTCTTCAGTGTCCAAAGTCAGAATTTCCTCGAAACCTTCAGTGTTTAAAATCTAAATTTCCTCAAAATCCTCAGAATCGAAAATCTAAATTTCCTCAAGATCCTCAGAATCCAAACTCTAAATTTCCTCCAAACCTCCGACATTCAAAGTCCAAATTTCCCCCAAACCTCCACCACTCGAAGTAAAATCTCCACTACCAAAAATCAGTCTCGAACTCTTCACTTTCTCTTCACACTTCAAAGAAAATTATACACAACCGACGCAACAGTGATATAATTTCCCGAATCGTTGTATCTCTTCAGGGAATCCTCGACTGCCTCTATCTCCTTCTACTGAATCAAATCGCCATCTACGGAGTGTTCTCCAAACGGTAAGTCCCCACTTCAAAGCGAAACTCCCCTCGGGCATCCTTAAACATCACACCCGTTCAACGCTCGACACCTTAATTCATCCAGCTCCACGCTTTCTCCGACGAAAACGAGCGTCGATCCACTCTCGTTTTCGCTCCCAGCACCTGCACTCATTCCCTTTCTCTCGTTTCCAGCGTTCACTTGAAAATCCTCGTACCGGACGTGATCAACCATCACACTCACACCAGAACGGTTCTGCTTCACCTTCACGTGCCCGTCAAATCGAGGAAACTTCCGAAGAAACCGAAAACCCAGCACAAACACGAGTATCATCGCGAGAATTGGAGTTCCTGGAGTTACGGCCGTCATCAAGACGATCGCGACGAACCCGAACTCGATCACGAGGACTATCACGAGGATCGCCGAGAGAAATTGAAGGAGAAACAACAGGATCGTAAGAAGCATCGACACGAGTACGTCCCAGTTTACGATTATCAGAAAGATCCTTATCTGCCGCCGTCTTACGTCGAGGATAACAATTTGGAGGAGAAGAATCGTGGTCAAGATGGTGATTCGTATGCGGTTCACGAAGACGTTAATGACACACCACCGAACACGGAGACTTTCTCTTACAATTACGAGGAGGGGTACAAGAAGGGTTTGCAGACCGAGACTGGACACCTTCGGACCGATCAGATGCACAAGTTTCACGAAGACCGGCAGGAGGATCAAGGTGACGTCGAGGATGACGGGTTCAAGGAGGATTTCGAGTCGAAATCGCAGTCTGGGAGATATCTGGTGGATGACGTCGAGTACGAGAACACTAGAGACAAACGTGAACACGGTAGAATACGCAGGAGGATTCGTGAAACGTAGAGTTACGGAGAATTGCGAGATGTACAGTCGGTGGAAGAAATATCGGGAAGTTGTAAATTCAAGCATTCAGGTCGAATGCGTTATTTTTTGCTTTTCCATTAGGACTAAGAGTTGAAGTTGAGTGGAAAGTTGCAAAGGGCGATAGTTAACAGTGGACTACGAATTTTGATGCATTTATGGAAAATTTGATGGAACAAAAATACACAGAATGTACAAAAATATATAAACAAACACAAAATACAGTACTCGTTATAATATTTGGTAAATAAAAAAATTGCCCACCTATCTCATATTTGCATAAAAATCCGCAGTCTACCAATACCGAAAATTCACTTTTTCTGGAAAATTACCAATGGGTCATTTTTGACCCGGCTAGTCGATCTAACCTTAGAAACCTAAAGAGGCTATCTTCACTTCTCTGACAGAAAGCATCCTCGTACCACGTTATCTTTCAATGACACTCTGTCTATTAGAGATGAATCTTACTTCGATTACCGTTTAGTAACCGTACGATTTCGCGAATGCAGTTAAACGACGAAGGAATATAGGGGTGAGATTTCAGGTACACACGCAATTTATTCAACTTTCTCGCGACATAATATACATACATCATTCTAGTCGCGTTGTACAGTTAAGAGCAACAAGTGTAACATTATTAAAAATAAACAAACGATTAACAATATTTACATGGAACGATATTTACGAACGAATGCGACGACAGAATTGATGAGAGACTAGGACGAGAGGTAAGAGGCAGGGTGATGAAGTTTGATCAGCACTCCCCGGGAAACACCAGTCAAAGTAACGAACAGTAATAAGAAAAACAGAAGACAAATAAAACAGTGAAGAAGTATCTATCTCTCTAGAACGATCTACCTTAAACGTGATATGTGAAAGTGTCGTGTGATTGGGGGGGTGCTTGTTGGTTCCGCGAAGCGTGACTCGACTGTGGTGCTTTCGAAAAAGGTTCTTTAACGTTCTCTAGGTAAAGGAAGAATCTCGAAAACGGAAGTTCCTTTCTACACGAATGTGCTTTGCTAGGTAGACTACGTATGCCTTGGTTAACACGTTCCATGCCATTGGAGAATTTCAAATTTGGCCTAAAGTCGCGTGAAAATGTAGAACTATAAGAAAATGTCGATGTCTTCAATTTTTTTGAATTGTAATCCTTTTTTTCATATATTCTGCACTGAGTCGAAAAATAGAAAAATATCTTTGTCAATCTTTTTTTTTTTTTGTCACATACTTTGCAGTGAGTCGAAAACTGAGTTTTCTTGAAAATGAAAACTGAAAATATTAACCTTTTTCGTATAATTTGAGCTGAGAGGAAAAATAAGGTTTCTCCTTTAATGAAAACTGAAAATATCGAATTTTTGATAGTGCGATCTTTCGAAGAATAATATTTGCTAGTTTCACGAAAGTCTCATTTTTGATTTATAAAAAAATATCGACAAGGTCTCAATTTTTTTCACTTCAATCTGATTTTTCACAATTATCGCGCTAAATCGAGAAATAATTTTTCTCGTTCAACGAGAACCGTTCACCACGGCTGGCACACTTGACAAGGAACGAGCTGAAGGCAAACCAACTAATAAAACTTACCTCTAGAAGCAATCTACAATAAAAATCACATTGAAAATGGAATAAATAAAAATTCGTTAAAATTCGAGTCGAGAGCACGCTTCGAGTGACCAATCGAACGTTTGAGAAGAAAACTACCGTACTCCTTCCTACACTGGCGCGATCCATCGATCCTAATGGCCGCCCCAGTCTTCGTGGCCTCCGCCACCGTATCCTCCGCCTCCGATCAAGCCACCTCCTCCGTATCCACCGCTCTCCAAGCCACCTCCGTGTCCAATGCTGATTCCACCGCCGCCATAAC